ACCAATATACAAAGACAAAGGTGATATCCAAGATTGTGAGAAATAATAATTGAAAAAGAGGGAAAAAACTGTTTTACATCTCGTTTTTATGGATTTAGAAAAAAAAAAAACATATGAAAATGTGCCGAGAGTAATAGATAAGTATGAGGATGCAAGAATAGAGGATAGGACTTGCTTAGGTGTGTAGGTGGGACAGAAGAGTTCAATGTTAAGGTTGGGCTTCATCATGGCTCAGCTTTGAGCCCATACACATTTGATTTGATAATGGATGTACTCAAGCCTGAAATATTACACCCACCTCCATGAGAAATGCTATCTGCAGACGATATAGTCCCGATAGACCCCACCAGGGTAGGAGTTGAGCACAAGCTGAAGAGATAGAGGATAGAGAGCTTAAGATTAATCGAAAGAAAATGGAGTATAAGGTTCTAAATCCGGAAGATGCAGGTGAGGATGCCTGTTGCAGTGCGAAAAAAGGAAAGGAGTAACACCTTCAAATACTTAGGCTTCCATATATCATCAGATGGGGTATAGAGAAACTGAGAAACTAGAAGAATCTGTCAGTTTTGTGTGATAAGAAAATTAGTGTGAGAATGAAGGAAAAATTATATAGGACAATGGAGAGACCAGCAATGATGTCCGGGATAGAAGCGTGAACGATTAAAATGGACCATGTGGCAGAAATGCGCATGTTGAGGTGAATGTATGTAGTTACAAGAATGGAATGTTGAGGTGAATGTGTGTAGTTAGGAGAGGACAAGATTAGTAATTATAAAAATCGTGGAACAACTAAAGTATTATAAATAACAAGGAAAATACAGGAGAGAAGGTTAAAATGGTACGACCATGTGATGAAGAGAGAGGAGGAATATGTGGGAAAATAAGTGCTTAATATGGACGTAGAAGAGCGAATGGGAAGGCCAATGAGGAGGTGGAGAGACAGCTTGCTAACATATTTTAGAGAAAATGGAATAATTGGCGGAGTATTTTACTAGCCGAAGAAGAAATTAATATTCCTATTATTGATGTAACTGTTGTAGCGGTTCCTGATTGGCCATCAATCGAGAACCGCACCTGACCTGTGATTGGCCGACTCCTGCCACGGGACCGCCCAAACTGGCCGAGTAAACATCGCCGGTCAGGTTCTTAAGCAGCCGGACCTGAGTCGGAATTCCCCGGACGACAGGATCTCCCGCATCGGAAGTAGTCGTTGTATCAGCCGAGTTGGCTCAGCGGTTTTTGCTGAAACAATGGATTAGCTCCTGTAAGAGCTGGCCATCCACGCTGTCAGTGAAGGAGCAAGACGCGTCAACCAGAGGAATTGGCCATCCACGCTGTCAGCAAGGGAGCGAGACGAGCCGAACCGAAGAAGTGGCTATCCACACCGTCAGCGAAGGAGCACCTCGGAAGTTGTCCGTCGTCGTCAATTCTAGTCACTATTAACACAGCTATTAAGCTGTGGCTATTAAAGAGATAGAATACTTCTTTTCCCTCATATAAATGTTTTGGTCACTTCCACTTAGCGTCCCCTCCCGAGCCAAAGTGAAGCCCGCGGGCAGTGCCACAAAGGGGGCCAGGCCGGTAGCTGGCTGCCTTCAACTCGGGAGAAGGGTTTTGATGCTAGGGTAGGTTAGGGGAAGTGGTCATCCTTAGCTTGTTAAACTTTCACCATCATGGCCAAGCCGAGGAAAAAACCGCCGCCTCAAACCAAGAAGACTTCTACTGTTTCACCACAGGAAGAAACCTCTGCCGGTCCATCCAGCGAGTCGAAACCCACACATGAGGACAAAATGGAAACTTCCAGCAGTACACCGGACACAAACGTCCTCCAACAATTGCCTACCCTCTCTGATGTGCAGTCTTCGAGCTTTGTTGTCTCCCCAAATGAAGACTATACAACATCTATTGAAACCTTGTTAGCACTGGAGAAAGATTTCCCTTCACTCCTAGTTGCAACAAGGATAACAACAAAAGGGGATTACATCCTCCATCCAAAGGATCCTACAACCCTGTAAATCCTCCGAAATACCCAGGTCCTTAGCAACGACAAGAAAATAAACATTGCACCATACATCCCACCTCCAAAGAAGTCGATCATGGTTCTGGAAGGATACCCACTAGGATTCCCACTAGACCGACTACGCGACCATCCACTAGTCGAGTCTGCCTTTTGCCTAATCTCCCGACCCTAGGCATTTTCGGCACCTTCACTCTTAGAGAACACGTTGCCAAGTGCAAGAGTCAAGCACGCTGTGGCATTTGCTCCGAACCACACCTTACTGACATTTGTATTGCCAAGTATAAAGAAGGCAAAATCATAACAGCCAAGTGCCCTAACTGTGACGATGGGCACCACGCCTGGAACACACATGTCCAGAGAGACTCCGACGTCTGGCATATTCCTCTGGAGAACCCATTCCAGTTGAACAAAGAACACCACGAGTCTTCACACGGAAGCTCCACACCTGGAACAGACCAGCAAACCCTGATACAATCTCTTCTCCCAAGAACAACATAGCCACTGGCACTCCACCTTCCATCCCCCTCAGACCAGAGCATTCCAGGGTCATACCTCAACATAATAGCATGTGCTCCAACTGCGGCAACCCCAACAACTCTACACACGATGTGGATTTCTTGGCGACGTTATTGCATATGGGACTCTCCCTGGTAGGTAGACAAGCTGACCGGAGTCGTATAAGAGATATTGTCAATAAATTCCTTGACAATGAAACTAACAGCACAACTGTTGCCTCATTAAAACAAAATGATGGCAATCATACTGCTCAGGTAGACACAAAAACAAGTTCCTTTACTACACTAGAAACTCCTCTCCACAACCTTCAACAGTCTGTCAGTCCTAATACTCAGGATCTCCCAGATATAACCCCATCGCACTCCACCACCACTCCTGCGTCTGAAACAACTCATGGCCGCACACAAAGAAAACGTTTCCGACGGTCTTCACCAACTAGTGATATTCATGATGGTACCGAACATTCACTTCAAGACACTCTGCATCTCCAAGACGATACCCCTACAACAGACAGACACCAATGGACGACGCCTTCGATCAACATTTTCCGCCTCTCGGCACAGTATATCATTCCACCTCCAATAATAGGTCCCCTCCTGTAATACACATTCCAGACGAAAATCAAGTTATAACAAACGAATACCAACATCATCTTGACTCTAACAACACCTCAGATACCACCGATGACTAATGATACCAGCACTGAAAAGATCTCCATCCTCCAGTGGAATATATATGGCCTAAAACCCAAATTACCCACCCTCTCCTTAGCCCTGGCTGAAGAGAGATATGGAATTGTCTTGCTTCAGGAGACTCTCCTTAAGTCCGACATATCACTATCCAATTATACCGCTTACCACCAATATCAAAGTCAAGGAAATAGAGGGCTCAGTATTCTTGTACGGAAGGATTTGTATGTTGAACGCTTGCCCTTTCGAAGGTTTTGTGGAACTGAAGTCGAAGCCATGGGTGTAACTGTCTCTCTTAAAAACACAACTCTGCAGATCTACAACATAAAACGGCCCCCCAAAGCCACTGCCACTCTTAAGTTTGATCATATATTTGCAGCAGTCAGCAATTCCCCCTCCATTCTTTGTGGGGACTTCAATGCTCACAGTCCTACGTGGAACTGTCCATCCTCTCCATCAGCCAATAGATCCTGCAGAACTGGTCTTTATCTAAACAAGATGCTACAAGATTTTCCACACTCATCTCTCCTAAATAGACATATACCCACACATCTCAGAGGGGGAGTCCTAGACCTCTCCTTTGTATCCACCGACCTCCTCCCAATAGCCAGCTTGGCTCTTCACCCTTATCTAACCTCTGATCACTATGCCTCCACAATCACTCTGAATATACCACCCATACAGAAACCTCCAACTGTTCCCCATTGGCATTTCAAGAAGGCTGACTGGCATAAGTTCACCTTTATCTTGGAGGAATGGGTCGAAAGTTACACTCCATCACAAGACCTAGACACCAAGGAGGAGGAGATCGTTTCCGCCCTTCACCATGCAGCAAATCAAGCGATCCCAGCATACAAACCCACTTCATATATCCATAGTAATAAATGGTACTACTCAGATAGAGTCAGAGAGCTCCGACACCGACTTATCATCCTCCGAAAGACACTGAAAAAGCATCCTTCTCCCACCGTACTAGAAAACTTTCGAGTCGCGCAGCAACTTATCCGGAAAGAAATCCAGATGATTCGCTCAGACTCCTGGCTAAAATGGTGTGAGTCACTGAATGCCCACACCTCTCTTCATGACTTGTGGCAGAAACTAAATTTAGTTTCTGGAAAGTTCCGGAGACAGCCTTGCCACCCTCGACCATTACAAGTAGCAGAAGGACTAATACACACCTTTCAGTCCCGCAGCACCTCTTCTCAGCTCCCTCCTTCCACAATTAATAGGATCCAAAGGTTAAAGCCAGAAAGAGAAACCTCCATTCAAGTAGCTATTTCCACTCCAGCAGAATCTGATGTCCCATTTACGCAGCACGACATCAACCAAGCACGTAAGACCAGTAAAGATACTGCACCTGGAATAGACAGAGTCACCTATTCTATGCTGAATCAGCTAGGCACCCATGCACTTAGCCATGTTCAGTCCCTTTTTAATGACTCACTCCACTCTGGCCGACTCCCAAGGAGCTGGAAAGAAGCCATGATTCACCCTGTTCCAAAGCCTCCCACACCAAATGCTTATCGTCCCATCTCCTTACTCTCATGCCTTGGCAAAACCATGGAGCGTGCAGTTCTGACAAGATTACGGCATTTAGTACCCCATCCAGACAGACACATATACGCCTGTTACAAGGGTTTGGGTACAAAAGACAATTTAGCTGCCATCCATAGTACCCTAGATGGAAACGATGCTATCATTGCTCGCTCGGAGAGATGTCATAATTAGTATACTAACATCCAAGGGTATAACTGGAAAAATCTTAGCTTGGTCAAATGGCTACCTCCTCTAGAGAAAAGCCAAAGTCCGCTTTCAGGGAAATTTCTCTGACTTTCAAGTCTTTGAGAATGGTACCCCACAAGGGGGGATTCTTAGCCCCTTCCTATTCAACCAATTGATCGCTCAAGTTCTCTCACTCCGACTACCACCGAACACATCTCTTTGCATATGCTGACGATCTTCAACTAATATCCACCGGCACAACCAGAATTGTCAGAGCCCAACAGGCCCTTGACCTCATCGTTGACAAATGTCATACTCTTGGCCTAAAACTAAACCCTGAAAAAAACAGAGCTCTACAAGTCAGACGATACCTCCCACATCAGTCCTTATATATAAGGACTGACAAAATTGAATGGGTCACCTCCCATAAGTGCTTGGGGATTGTCTTCAACACACAGAATGACTCATCCTCTCAGTTAAGACATCTCCTTGAAAAGACCAAGACTAGAATCAATGTCCTACGAAGATTATTAAGCTCAAAGATGGGAGCTGGATTTAACGTCCTCCGAGCATTTTACATTCATGCCATCCGATCACTTGTAGATTACTGCTCCTTCTCCATCCTCTCTCTCAGCTCTGCTCAGTTTATCCGTCTCGAAACCATACAAAATAAGTACATGAGAATTATCCTTGGAGCACCTCGATGGACACGGTTAGTAAACATGAGACTTGGAACTAAATTAATACCACTTCAAATAAGGACCCAACAGATTGTTGCGGGACATGTCAGCAAGTTGATATCACACCATCATCCTCCCCTGTTGAAAGATCGTTTTATAAACCTCCTTACACAACCAGGAGGCCCTCTCCCTACATCTCTGCCATGGCATAGTGAAGTGTTTAGGTGTTTGGATGCCTTCAATTTACTACCTAGTATAACATCACGTAGCATAGACCATCCTCATCGTGAATACCGTGCTCCTCTCCCTTGGGAACCTCGACATGTCACAATTACAACCAAGAGTCTCCCACTGTCGAAAGCCAGATGTTCTCAGAATGACTTTCGACACCTTCAAGCCTCCATAGACTCCATTGAAAATAATGAAGATATAGCCACTTTCTATACAGACGGCTCAGTTGAACAATCAGGCAGAGCAGGAGCAGCATTCATGCACGACAGGAGTCAACATGGACAAAGACTCAGCAATGACACCACCATCCTTCAGGCTGAGCTTTTTGCCATAAGAGCAGCTCTTCATTGTGCATTCAGATGCGCCAAAAACACTGTCTACATCCTCACTGATTCACTTTCAGCGCTGCACACTCTGCAACAACAATACCATCAAGACAACATCCAGCTCATTACATCAACACTCTTCAAGTTCCAACAACTTTCAGAGCAAGGGAAGTCAGTTACACTAATGTGGATTCCTAGTCATGTTGGAATTCAACACAACGAACTTGTTGATACTGCAGCCAAAAACAACCTCCGCCAGCAGAGCATCACCCATGTCAAGCCAAGTCTCAGCACCATAAAGACTTTGGCCAGGTCTGCTGCTTATTACATGACACTATACAGCATCAGGTCTGGGTGCAAGCAGGATCGCCTTCAGCGTCTTGGTACAAGACCTCTACTGAGTTTGAGTCCATAACAATCCCTAGGTCTATGTCGCACGAAGATGCCGTAATAATCCATCGGCTACGTCTCGGCTATCGCTGCAGTTGGGAGATAGATGAGCGCAATCCTAAACAATGCAACCACTTTCAGTCTATTACCGACAAGCCATTAATACACTATCTGTTGGAATGTGATGCCCTTACAGCAATAAGACCCCCTGACTTTGCAAATATACAGAATATAACCCCTGACCTACTTAAGACTGCTGCTGCAAATTGTGATCAGCTCATATTAGAGAATGAAGTAAATCTTCAGGCACTTTCTGCAACTCCTCCTCCACGTCAGTCCCACATCTATCAAAATTACTTACTCCTATGTAAAGCAACCACTACAAATACAACACATAATGATACACTAATAAAAAGCTCATAATAAGTGCAACACCAACTGGGTAGCGACAGCCAAACCCAGACTACCTCCCAAACAAATGGGGTAGTGAATAAAAAAATAAAAAAAAAATAAAAAGAGTCGGAATCTCGCGCGCGGCAGCTGCAGCTGATCACACCTCGTCCCAGCAAGGGTGGCGATATCCTGTTTAGCGTTGGCTCCAATTCCACCGGAGGGTCTTCTGATCAAATTTTCACATTTATTGTGAATGAGAGAAGCTACCTCCTTCTGGCTACAGTTACAACCTCAGCAAGGACCGCGAGCTGCCGTCCATTGTTGTAGCCAATTCAAGATTGTCTTCTTGCCGAGAGCGCGCACGCCAAACTGATAACTTTCATGCCAAACAGTGCAGAGAGTTCCACTTTCATGCCAATCATCTCATTCATCTCATTCATTTTTTTGTCCTTTGCCACCTCTTAGTGTCCCCTCTGTGGTGAAGGTGAACCCCGCTGCCTTAAACCACAGAGAAGGGTTTTGTTTTTCTTGATAGGGTTAGGTACTTCTGGGGGTGCTTCAGCTTCTGCTTTCGAGGGGTTGACCTGAGCAGACTGTCTGATCACCAGTAGGTTATAAACCCAAAAGTTTTAGGTAGGTGGTGGCCTCACAACCCCTCATTTAAGTCACTGATGTCTAAGTCAAATCATAAAAAGAAAAAAAGAAAATGGAATTTCAGCCCAGGACTCCAGATCCTACAGCTTCCACCTCAAAGAAAGGGAAAAGAATTACTTCCCCCCAGAGGAAAATGCCCCAGACCCTGATCCAGTACAGACCACAGAGAATCCCAACAACTCAGCATCAAAGAAGATGAAGCTGAATCCTCCGCCTTCAGATGAATTACTCTCTTCAGCTGCTGATCCTAGAGTATCATCGAATGACAGCATGGAGCTATCCTGCACGATCATGGCAAAGATCCCCCTTCAGCCGATCCACAACTCCAAGCCCAAGACCAGAATACCTCAGCCAATAGGGGAGGCTCTAGTTCACCTTATCCACTCACCAAAATGAGCCATAAATTTCTCATTGCCTTATCCAAAGACTTTGCCACAGCTGTAGAAGCCATGTTTGCTATTGAAGAAGAGTTCCCTTTTATAGATGTCACCACAGCAATTACCAATGATGGCCACTTCATTCTCACTCCGAAGACTGATTCTACACGCACGTTGTTGGACTCACTTACCACCCTAGCTTCAGGCAAGATTGTCAATATTACCTCTTATGTTCCTGAACCCAGAAAATTCAGAGCAATTTTAGAAAAAATCCTCATAGGCTTTCCACTTCAACGCCTTACAGACCTCCCAGACGTCATCTCTGCTGAACGTTGTATATACCGCCCAACCAAGGAGGAGACGCGCCAAGTTCTCCTGGTCATGTCAAGAGAACCCCCTGATGAAATCAATCTGGGCATATTTGGGACCTTTAGAACTCGCAAATACATCCCAGAACCACTCCGGTGCTACAACTGCCAGCGCTATGGACATCACCGCAACCAATGTAAAGTTGCTGCACGCTGTGCAATCTGCTCAAAAAGTCACCCAACAGACAATTGCCTCACCAAATTCAAAAACGGCGAGCAGACCGAACCAAAATGCCCAAACTGTGGAGGCAAACACCACGCATGGAACCTCTGCTGTGAGATGAGACGCTCTCTGCTATCAAAGCCTGATTCTTCTGGAAAAGGGCAGCCCCCTCAGCCTCGAACCTTCACGAGAAAGATCCATGATTGGAGCAAACCAAGAGAACCACAACACCTCAACACTTCTGCTCTCAGCCACGAACCAATCAAAGCTTCTATTGCTGCTAACCTGCATACCTTGTCTACTGCTCCTGCACCAGTTGCCACCTCCCCAGTCTCACAGCCCTTCATGAGTCACAAAGCACCAATTTCCTTAGCTCCTCCTGAACTGATTGGATCATTCCTAGTGAATACCATTCAACTTGGCCTTTTAGCCCTGGGTCACTCTATTCCTCACTCTATTCCTCACTCCCACTTACAAACTCTCATTGACAACATCCTTGCCATCTTACCACACAAGAACACATCCTCCTCATCCCCAAGAATCCATGCCTTCTGAACCTGTACAGCAGGATACTGGTACAATTAACTCATCAGAAGACTTTCCACCTCTTCCTACATCTTCTCACAGGATTAATCAGACAAGCCCCTGTAATCCAACGCCTGCACAACAATCGGCACAACTCCACTCTTCCGCCAGCTCTCCACCAATCTTACACATTCCAGACCAACCTCATGAACTCAGGACCACGCAAGAGCTCAATTAAACCACTAATTTTACCCTTACATCATCACATCATGAGTAATGTTATGCATTCCGTTTCGGACTCCATCAGTATTCTACAATGGAACATTCTTGGCCTTCAGTGCAACTACCCCACTCTCATTAGCAATCACTAGGAAACTCTCCTTCCAGCCTCCAACAATTTCTCCATTAACCGCTACTCAGCGTTTCACAGCCCTTTCATCCCCAATCAGTCACGGGGAATCTCCATTTTTATAAAGTCTTCCATACCCTGTGAAGAGATTACTCCACCGCCAGATTGTGGAGAAAACATTGAAAGCATAGGCGTCAAACTAACCCTACAGAACACAGACCTCCACATTTTCAATGTTTATCGGCCTCCTCGAGCAGATTGTTCTCTAGAGCTTGAAGAATGATTTGGCATAACAGCCAATGAACCACCTCTCATCTGTGGTGATCTTAATGCCCATCACCCCTCTTGGACGACCAATCTACCCCTTCTGCACACAAAATGAATGACACCGGTCTATATATCAATGAACTGCTGGACAGTTTCTCAGAAGTTACTGTCCTCAACAACGGTATTGCAACTCATGTCCGTGGAGGAGTACTAGACCTCACCATTCTCTCCACCTCTCTCCTCCCTATAGCAGACTGGAAACTACACCCCTATTTAACTTCTGACCACCTTGCCACTATCACTACCGTTCGGATTCCGCGGGTTACTCTCCCCCCACCCATACCAAGATGGAATCTCAAAAAAGCGAACTGGCCCCTCTTCACAGACACTATGGAGAAATGGGCCTCCAACTACATTCCACCGTCAGATGCCACCCAGCTAGAGAAAGATTTCACTAATGCCATTCACAATGCTACTGACAGCAGCATTCCCTCACCAATGTCACTCTTCATGCGCACAAGAACAGCTGGTTCTACAACGACCGGATACGTGAACTCAAGCATAGAATGAACATGTTCTGCAAAGCTCTCCACCGATCCCATTCTCCAACCATCTTAGAATCTTTTCGCACCTTACGACGTCTTGTCAAAATGGAAATCTCAGAAATAAAAGCCAAAGCCTGGTTATCTTGGTGTGAAACGATAACTGCTCACACATCCTTGAAAGAGATGTGGACCAATCTACGACTGGCATCAGGAGCAAAACGCTCAATGCCCGCACCACATCCTCATCCTCACTCTGAAGCCAACAGACTTGCACTCTCCTTTGCCACGCGCTGTTCATCCACCCAACTGCCTGCATCCGTTTCAAGGAAGCTACAACAGCTGAAGCCCATCCGACAACAAGTCATTCAAATAGCTATAGACTCACCTGCCCAAAGTGACACACCTTTCACATTAACTGAACTCGAGAAAGCTACAAAGACTTCTAAAGACAGCCCCAGGTATTGATAAAATACCCTATTCTATGCTCCACCACTTAGGGCCCTCAAGTATGGGCACTCTGCTCAGACTATTTAATGCCTCATATCACCAAGGAACCTTGCCCCAAGCCTGGAAATCTGCCAACTTAATACCAATACCCAAACGTGACAGTACTAATGCCTTCCGACCTATCTCGCTACTTTCCTGCATAGGTAAAACCATGGAACGTGCTGTGCTCCATCGCTTACAACACATCATTCCATCCCTCCATCCACATATTTTTGCCTATGAAAAAGGAACAGGCACAGCAGACAACATCGCTACCCTCCTGTCCTTAACTGACGGCAACGACAGTGTGATTGTATTCCTCGATCTAGAAAAAGCCTTCGAGCTTGCCAACCATGATGCCATACTACACACACTTGCTGAGAAAGGCGTAAAGGGCAAGCTTCTCAAATGGGTCAAGGACTACCTCTCAAACAGGAAAGCTCGAGTAAGATTCCAGGGACACACTTCTGACTTCTACCCCTTTGAAAATGGTACACCTCAACCTCCTAATGATTTTACAATTAGTTGTCATAGGAAGAAACAGGTATGTCAATGCTCAACTCGCTCTCAATCTCCTCGAGTCGACCTGTAAAGAACTCGGACTCAAAATCAACAGTAACAAAACCAAAGCCCTCCAACTCCGTCGTCACATTAACCTGCAAAATCTTTACATAGGTAACTCCTCTGGATTGGGTGAACTCTCACAAGTGTCTAGGCATCTTTTTCAACGAGAACCTCTCCTCAACTACACAGCTCAGACGTCTTTTACTCCGTACTAAGCCTCTCCTCAATGTCATGCGCAGGTTAACTTCCTCCAAACTTGGGGCAGGCTTTAGAACACTCCGGCTCTTCTACATACACGCCGTCAGATCCCTCATTGACTACAGTGTGCCAGCCC